CATCTGGATAAATCTGTCCTAGTGGGAACCGGAGCTGAAAAACCTTGATTGAAAACGTGCCTAACTCCTTCCATGTCCTTGGAATTGTAGGTCTTTTCTGGCAGGGTGCATCCATATCCCTACAGCTCGTATCTGGTTGGCTACAGGGTGTGACATGCCTGCCAGTTTATTGTTGAAAGTACCTGCTAGCTTGATGGCTGCAGGTCCTTCAGCAAAAACCTGGACAACCCTAGCAGGTGGCACTTCAGTTAGAACGAGCTTGGTTCCAGCAATTGTTACGATACTTGCTGGTGGCTCAGTCACCCAGCCTATTGTTTTCAGCCGTAGTGCTGCATCAGAAAGCGGGCCTCTGTTCTCGGAAGCCCAAGGTCTACCGACGGTGTACTCAACCCAGGCTTGGGCTTCTCGGAAGGCTGTTGATAATCTGCTCAAGGGGATGGCGTCCGCATGTACGGGTCCCCCCTCTACCCGACGGTTGGTGCCATGCCACGATTCATGTGCATATCTTTCTATTGTTGCAGCAGCTTTATAACGGGGGTCTTCTTGACTTCTGGAGGTCAGGGCCCAGGCTATACCCAATGGGCAACCTGTTTGTTTAACCCCCTTCGCAACTGCAGCAGCTCTGCGGAGAATTAAAGCTTCTCTCGGGGAAAATCCCAGGACTTGCGCCCCATACGTCACCACAGACTGGATGCTTGCCTGGCACAGTCTGCTTTTCAACCGTCGATTCCCTTTAAAACGGGATAGCTTTCGGAGCCTACTGTGGACCTCGTGTTTGGGACATCCTGTATGCTGGGCCCAAACCAAACTCTCTTTCCCAAGCACAGAATGGGGCTCTATGAAGTTTTTCTTGTAGCCTGGGCATAGTTGGGTAATGTCCGAGGGACCGACGTCCTTCTTGGAGCTGCTGGGTAAACAGGACAATGATGGTTTGGATGGAGGTCGGCGCCGTACCTAGAACATCCATGATGTGGAAGATGAGAGATAGAGCATCCGACGAGATCAATGCATAATGTCTCGGGTGCATGCCATCAGGTGTACAAGTCTTGAGCTTGAACTTCCTGGCGATACGTTTGATCACATCCGGCTCAGTGGGCATTGGCATTGGAATAGGCGCTAAATTAGTTCGAGGCGGTGGGTCTGCTGGGGTCTGTCCAACTTCCCATGCAGACGACCAATGTTTTGATTCCTTGCACAATCGATTTGGCAGAGAGGACGAGCGGCCAATTGGGCTCTGAACGACATCCTCAGGTCTCGAATCAATCCCTCTGAGGTAAGCAACAGCCTTCTGCGCACTATCCTTCCCTGCCTCCTTGCACCATTGTTCCCACTCTGTCCTCTGTCCCCTCCTTTCTTGTAGTCGGCACATTGTTGTGCACATCTGATCGGTGGTGCCACCATTGATACACGCGCTGGTGGCGACTCCTTGATCAGGATGGCTGCAGCTAGGCCTGAAAGATAGCGGAGCCAGAAGGATCCTTAATCTTTCCAGCACTGCCGAAAAAGGTACACCTAGTTTTGGAAGCCCTCCAAGTTGCCGCAGAAGGTTGGCGGTATATGGCTCCAGGATGTGTTTGCCGTTCTTGGCCATAAGGGTTTCAATCTCTTGGAGACGATTGGAGGCTCATTGGAGGGCCCTTCCAGGAAATACCTTCTGGTACTTCCTTGTGGCCAGGACCCTGGACACATGTATATCTCGAAACTCTGGCGAGAGACCGCCTCCACGACCTTAAGGAGAAACTTGCGTTACATCTAGAACTTCTTGCCACGCCCGCTCAGCCCAAGATAAGTATACTTGGTCTGGTAGCTGCTGGAGGGGGCAGTATTCTTCCTGTGTGGCCATACCGTAGGAGTTCCCGAAAAGAGTTTTGTTAGCTAGAGCTCTCTCCAGCTTGTCAATGAGGTCCTCGTAGTTTGGGGGAGCTGCTGGCGGGCCCATCGCAGGTATGGGATATACTTTCATGTACGGGGTCACCACGCGCACGCACACGTCATCTATGCCTTTCAGGAAGTCCAGGGTGGTGCCTCTTGTGCCAAGGCGAGTCCAACCCCAAGGCAGGGTCGGAAGCATCTAAAGCTCGATTCAGTATGAACTAATCAATAGTGGACTTGTTGTCTCCCTGCAGCAACGTGGGTTCACCGGGCACGCGCACCATTGCCGCAAACTTGGCAAGCGGCTGGAAAGTCTCAATCTTCTCTGCAGACATGATAATGTCTCCTCCCACTTTGAACGACACTCCTGACCTCGAAACCATGTTCCAAACCTTGCCGAGAATCCTTCGGTTCGTTTCGTTGAGGTGCACTTGGTCTTGCAAGTGCACACTGAACCTTTGGAGTACTCCCAAGGATGCAGCTCTCAGAAAGAATCCCGATAGTCTGCCAGGGACCACTAAACCACCGTTGTCTGACCAGAAGTCTTGGTGATCTTTGATCAAAACCATGGTGCCGCCCGCGGGGTGCAACGGGTTTGTGAAATCGGCGGGGGCGACGTATGAGTGCCAACCCATCTTAAACATAGTAGCGCGGCAGTCGGCGAGCTTCTCACCGTACAGTTTGTGTTCCTGCAATCGAATCTCCTCTTGGTCTGAACACTATAAACATTCTTTACATGTGGCCCAGCACGAGCCATTACATGTTTTGAAACGAAGCCTCGTGCTGTTACCCTCGCTCTGATGGTTCCCCTGATCCTGAAGCACTCTGGTGGATCCCCGCTCTGGTGATCCCCTGGGTCTGGGCGAACTGGGGACCTCGATCTTCCCCCTTTCACGACTCGATCGGCTTCGAATGGTTTTTTGTGTTTTCTTCTGGGCGAGCTTTTCCTGGATCCTGGCGACTGCAGCTCCTGGGAGTTCTTCACGAAGGTTACTTTGTAGATCCTCATCGGTCCGGTCGAAGGCCTCAAGGAACGTGGTTGATTCCTGGGCTTCCGTCCAGGTCCCCCTTCTGAAGCAGGTTGGAGGAGCGAGGTGGCAAAGTTGGTGGCCGCGGTGTAGGCATCTGCCGTGGGTGAGCTCATGGCGTTGACTGCGGCCTGGTAGAAGTTCTCCAAGTGCGCCTTGGTGTTGCCGTCGAGCTGTCCAATATCTGCCGTCCATGCTTCGAGATTGACGCCCAGCTGGTCGATAGAGGGAAGCCCTTGTGTTTCTTGAATGCGGTTTGCCATGACATGTCGGGCCAAATGTTGGAAGAGTTGTAATCCATTGGGAGGCTGCTGCTTACGGGAACTGGTTGGGGCTGTGGACCATGTGTAGCCTTTGCCCTTGCCCTTGCCCTTGGGGAGCTGTTCTGCCTGTCTGTTTTGTCCTCCTCGGCCACCTGCCTGCCATACACCACGGGGGGCAGGGACAAGTTGGTGGCGGAGGCGTGGTAAATCTGTTCCACAATGGTAGCACCATGTGAAATATTCTGGGTTGCTTTTACAGCCACATGCAGTGCAAGCCAGGCCCGCCGGAGGCCAAGAAGAAAAGCGTGCCGCTGCGCTCGCACTGCAACAAGTCGCTTGAGAATGGCCACAGAGGTTGGCCAGACCTAATCGCTGATTCTCGGAACCTCGTTCCTTCACAACGTGGAAGTCTTGAGCCAAAATGGCTACGGTCCTTCTCCTCCTCCTCCTCCTCCTCCTCCTCCTCCTCCTCCCAGCCTGCTGTCCGCCGTCGAACCTTTTCGACCCCATCCCCGGGACCCGTCTCTCGTCCCGGGTTGCTTCTTGGCGGCCCCAGCGCCCGAGCAGGGCCCCTCCCCGGAGAGTAGCCCTCCACAATTTTATCTCGGGGCTTGCTCTGGCGAGAATCACAAGGGGAATCCAGCCTCGGCGACGAAAAACCATTCGAATGCTAAGCGAAAACCCTGAGATAACAAAGGAAGCCTTTGTCTCCCTCCATCGCTCTGCATTAATGTCTGCCTGTATCTTGCCCCCAGCCGATTCGACTTTTCATCAGCCCCGTGAATCCTAAGCGCAGCCGGACTGAGATATGAGAGCAAGGTCGTGTTTGTTGGATGGTCTTGTGTTTCCTGGGGAGGGTCTCCTTGAACGTTCTGTGTGTTTTGGCCGGCGGAGGGCTTCGTGTTCTCGAGGGATGTTCTTCTTACCTAGGCCAGGATGTACTCGAAATTGCACTGGCTCAGTAAGCACTGAGCATGCCCAGGTGCACGGCTCGACAGTCTGATGTTGTTGTTATCCAGAATGAGTCACCCGCGGAATGCGTGAAGAGAATCGCGCCTCGCGCGCTGCGGTTCTGGCCAGGGCGGTTGCCCTTCACCCTGGGTGCGGCGCGGGGGCAACGGCCGCTGAGCGACGTCATCGTCGACGCACTGCAGGCACAATGGCACGAACTTTCTCTCTCTCTCTCTCTCTCTGTTCGCCAGCGTGGACCCCAAGGAGTGCGTTGTTGCACTGTGGAGGTAAACGCTACGCGGTGAAGGCATGTGGTGTAAACCAAGTCGTGCAGCCCACGTGGGACGAATTGGATGTGAAGGTTATGGGGTGTGAGCTGCCTAGTGTAAGCTATGCTATGCAAATTACGCGATGTAAGCTTGTTGTGGCGTAAGCTGTGTGGTGGAAACTATCCCGTGTAAGCTCAGGGCACGGGGCTCCCACGTGACGCCGACGAGGCGACACGGGCTGCAAGGTGGCGCAACCTCGGGAAACCCACCCAGAGCATGAGGCGTTATGGGCGGCAGCGTGGCGAGAACCCAGAACACCCAACCAATCACCAAGAAAAAGGCAAGCGCAAGCACTGCTTGGGAAAGAAGAACGTTCGAGGCACAATCTTCGTCGATACTTGTGGGTCCTACGGTGTCCCAGCCCTTCTGTGAGTCCCAGCGGCCAACTGGGGGATCAGACATTTTCCGTGGGGCACCTGCAGGCCAGCCAGCCTCTTTGTGAGAGGCGCCTGCTTTGGATGTGCGTAGATGTCGTCATCGTCGTCGCCGTCGGTCGTCCGTCGTGGTCTGTCCGCCGCCGGTCGCCTCCCCGGGCCGCGCACGCAGAGAGAGAAGAGGCGCTGCAGAAGACGGCGCGCGCCTCGCAGCTCGCGGCGCGGAAGGCGCACCTCGCTCTCCCTCGGGGACTGGCTCGACCCCCAGGGGGGGGTGTAATTTGGAGAGGGGAGGGCGGAAAAGACCCAGCAGATCTTTCCGATGATGTGACTGTTTCAGCCTGCCTCTTTGCTTGCGGCCCTCGGGGGCCGCTGAACAACAACAGATCTGGGGCGGACGACAGCCTTACGGGGAAGCGGTCGGGACCTCTGGGGCCGCGGGCTGAAATAATGACATCGGCGGATGTCACGGGAATTTCGATGCCGCTGCTCGTCCTAGAGGGCGTTCGTCACCTCGGCAGATTTGTCTCCGAACCTGGATCAGATCGCGTCCTGGGGGGAGGTCTGGGCAGCATTTTTCCCGGTACCTCTTCGTTCCCCCAGTGGGGAGAGGAGGAGCAGGGATGGGGGAGGTGAGGGAGGAGGGAGGGGGAGGGACAGCGGCATAGCGGAGGGAGGAAGAGCGCTTGTTCTTCCCTCCTAAGCGTTGGATGCGGATCCATCGGCAGCGCGCCCAGGGGTGAAGGAACAGGGGGCGGGCCTCCTCAGAAGGCTCTGGAGGTCTCCGGCCTCCTGAGCGGGTTGCTAAATTATCTCTGAAGATAGCGAGGGTCTCTCAGGATGCACGAGGGCTTCTGATAAGCACTGCCCCCTCTGCCTTCCCCCCGGTGCGCGCTGCCGAGACTCCATTTTGGAGGTGTTTGGAAGTGTGGGTGCCCAGCTGATCTCCGCTCCGTATGCCCCTGCATTCCTTGCGTGTCAGCTTTCGACTCTGGAGGTCCCCCGCAGTTCCCTCAACAGCTTGTCTGTAAGTGGTCTGCGGTCTGCACAATAATTCCAACGCCCCGTACGAGAGCCCAGCCCTCCCAAGACGGTGGTCCATCGTGGCCCCTAACATCGTGACTTGTGTAAGGCTCCTTGGGGCTTTCTACCCCAAGGGTGTTATCGGAGAGCCTCTTGTCTGAGGAGGCTGAGGAGGAGGACGACGAGGAAGAGGAGGAGGAGGAGGACAAGGAGGAGGAAGCGGAACGGAGCGCTCCGCAGAGAGCTGCTCCATCCACGACTTCGGGTCATCGCTCCTCCTCGGTTCTTGTCTCGCCGTTCTCTCCTGCTTCCCTTGGGCCCTCGTGCGTCGTCCTCCTCCTCCTCCCCCCCCTCCTCCTCCTCCTCCTCCTCCTCCTCCTCCTCCTCCTCCTCCTCCTCCTCCTTTCCTCCTCCTCCTCCTCCGCGCCGCCTCCTCCTCCTCCTCCTCCTCCTCCTCCTCCTCCTCCTCCTATTCCTCCTCCTCCTCCTCCTCCTCATCCTCCTCCCCAGAAGCACACATTCCCTCGTGAGCCCGAGCTGGAATTCGTCGCTGTCGCCAGCAGCTGGACTTCTAAGCACAGGGGTGCCCACTGCTGCCGCAGTCCAGAAGCCCCACCTCCACTTCCGAGCGCTGCACTGGGCCCTGGCAGCACGCGGGGGGCACGGGTGTCGTGGAGGAGAGGAGGAGGAGGAGGAGGAGGAGGAGGAGGAGGAGGAGGAGGAGGAGGAGGAGGACTAGGAGGAGGACTAGGAGCAGGAGGAGGAGTAGGAGGAGGAGGAGGAGGAGGAGGAGAAGGAACGGTAGGCGTGAGAGGCGCAGTGAGTCGAACAACAAAAAAGCATTAACAACAAAGCTCGGAGGTCCGCGCGGAGTTCTTGGATCGGCATTGGCCCCCCCCCACGCACCATGGGGGGGGTCCAGCGCCGATCCAAGACCGCGCAGGCCTCCCAGAAGTCATGTTTACGCAGGTGCTTCCTCTAGGGAGGGGCAAGGGACTTGTCGCCATACGCTGCATAGTTTTTGGGCGTGCGCCTTTCGGATCAGCAGTCGGGTATCAATACGGCCCTCAGGCAAGCGAAGCGGCAACGCGTGCCAAGGATGTGATGCCCCATGGCGAGCCGTAAGCTTGGACGTGAGAGGGTTGCGTTGAGAGGCATCTGAAGCAGCGAGGGGAGCATGGTGATTCCGTGATTTCCGCACTTGGCAGTGCCAAGCCTTGGTGCATATTCACATTGAGTGCCCACTGTTCCATTCCACAGCTCCTGATGTACACACCCGTTGCTCTTGTATCACGCCTTTGTTGAACATCGGGTAATACGCCTTCAGGGAGGTAGGGCTTGATATCGATGAGATGGAGCCTGTGATGGCTGGGCCTGTGTCAGTTTGCTTGGCTGGTGGATTTGGGGGTATCGATGTGGTCATTCGGCGAGGTTTCACCGAGGCTTATCGGCTGACTTCTAGGTGGGGGGTTCAGCTTCGGCATCCAACGCGGAAAACCGTTGAATCTGTTCAGTCGGGCAGTCGCATCCGCAGTCTCATGCCACACATTTACGGTCGAGAATTCTGGGATTGCGTGTCGCTCCACCGATTCTGGCCCACCACGCTTCGGCGCGACACGCTGTCCCTTCCCTGGTCCCGAAGCGATCACGTCCCGAGCCTTCCCGAGCCTCCCGCCCCGCGGAGCGGAGCGACACGCTATCCGCTTGCCAGGCATAGCGTGTTGCCGCGGCCGCCGCCGCGACACGCCAAGCAAGAGTTCCCGACCGTAGAAGGATTTATACCTAACAGCGAAGACTGATAGGTTTCTATTGGTCTCAAAAGAAAGCATCTTGACTCCTCAGGGGGGTCTGGGCAGATGCCGGACGGGTGCCAGGGAGAATTCGCGGAAGTCGTTTTAAGCAAACAGTTACACACTTCGTGGTCTTCGAGATCCCAGAACTCCATTCCCGGGCCATATTCTGAATGCCCGGAGCCAGCTGTAGGCCATTTCGTGGTCTTCGAGTTCCCAGAACTCCATTCCCGGGCATGAATTTGATTGCCCAGAGCCAACTGTAGGCCACTTCGTGGTCTTCGAGTTCCCAGAACTCCATTCCTGGGCATGATTTTGAATGCCCGGAGCCAACTGTAGGCCACTTCGTGGTCTTCGAGTTACCAGAACTCCATTCTTGGGCATGATGTTGAATGCCCGGAGCCAACTGTAGGCCTTTTCGTGTTCTTCGAGTTCCCAGAATTCCATTCCAGGGCCACATTTTGAATGCTGAGGCAGGCTGATGCTGAGGCTGAGGCAGGCTGAGGCTGATGCAGGCTGAGGCCGAGGCTGAAGGCAGACTGAGGCTGAGGCTGATGCAGGCTGAGCTGAGGCAGGCTGAGGCTGAGGCAGGCAGAGGCTGAGGCTGAGGCTGCAGGCTGAGGCTGCGGCAGGCTGAGGCCGAGGCTGAAGGCAGACTGAGGCTGAGGCTGAGCAGGCTGAGGCTGAGGCTGAGGCAGGCTGAGGCTGAGGCTGAGGCAGGCCTGAGGCAGGCTGAGGCTGAGGCTGAGGCTGATGCAGGCTGAGGCTGAGGCAGGCTGAGGCTGAGGCTGAAGGCTGAGGCTGAGGCTGAAGCAGGCTGAGGCTGAGGCTGAGGCAGGCTGAGGCTGAGGCTGAGGCAGGCTGATGCTGAGGCAGGCTGAGGCTGAGGCTGAGGCTGATGCAGGCTGAGGCTGAGGCAGGCTGAGGCTGAGGCCGAGGCTGAAGGCAGACTGAGGCTGAGGCTGAAGCAGGCTGGCTGAGGCTGAGGCAGGCTGAGGCTGAGGCAGGCTGAGGCTGAGGCTGAGGCAGGCTGAGGCTGAGGCTGAGGCTGATGCAGGCTGAGGCTGAGGCTAGGCAGGCTGAGGCTGAGGCTGAGGCAGGCTGATGCTGAGGCAGGCTGAGGCTGAGGCTGAGGCTGATGCAGGCTGAGGCTGAGGCTGAGGCAGGCTGAGGCTGAGGCTGAGGCTGAAGGCTGAGGCAGACTGAGGCTGAGGCTGAAGCAGGCTGAGGCTGAGGCTGAGGCTGAGGCAGGCTGAGGCTGAGGCTGAGGCAGGCTGATGCTGAGGCAGGCTGAGGCTGAGGCTGAGGCTGAGGCAGGCTGAGAGACTGAGCTGAGGCTGAGGCTGAGGCTGAGGCAGGCTGAGGCTGAGGCTGAGGCTGAGGCAGGCTGATGCTGAGGCAGGCTGAGGCTGAGGCTGAGGCTGATGCAGGCTGAGGCTGAGGCAGGCTGAGGCTGAGGCCGAGGCTGAAGGCAGACTGAGGCTGAGGCTGAAGCAGCTGAGGCTGAGGCTGAGGCAGGCTGAGGCTGAGGCTGAGGCAGGCTGATGCTGAGGCAGGCTGAGGCTGAGGCTGAGGCTGATGCAGGCTGAGGCTGAGGCAGGCTGAGGCTGAGGCCGAGGCTGAAGGCAGACTGAGGCTGAGGCTGAAGCAGGCTGAGGCTGAGGCTGAGGCAGGCTGAGGCTGAGGCTGAGGCAGGCTGAGGCAGGCTGAGGCTGAGGCTGAGGCTGATGCAGGCTGAGGCTGAGGCTGAGGCTGAGGCAGGCTGAGGCTGAGGCTGAGGCAGGCTGAGGCTGCTGAGGCAGGCTGAGGCTGAGGCTGAGGCTGATGCAGGCTGAGGCTGAGGCAGGCTGAGGCTGAGGCCGAGGCTGAAGGCAGACTGAGGCTGAGGCTGAAGCAGGCTGAGGCTGAGGCTGAGGCAGGCTGAGGCTGAGGCTGAGGCAGGCTGATGCTGAGGCAGGCTGAGGCTGAGGCTGAGGCTGATGCAGGCTGAGGCTGCGGCAGGCCGAGGCTGAGGCTGAGGCCTGAGGCTGAGGCTGAAGGCAGACTGAGGCTGAGGCTGAAGGCAGATTGAGGCTGAGGCTGAAGCAGGCTGAGGCTGAGGCAGAGGCAGGCTGAGGCCGATGCAGGCGGAGGCTGAGGCTGAGGCAGGCTGAGGCTGAGGCCGAGGCTGCAGGCAGACTGAGGCTGAGGCTGAAGCAGGCTGAGGCTGAGGCTGAGGCAGGCTGAGGCTGAGGCTGAGTCAGGCTGAGGCTGAGGCTGAGGCTGATGCAGATGCAGGCCACTGCGACTGTCATCGCGAATGCGACTACGACTGCGAGAACAGCAGAATTCTACAACTGGATTCTCATCTGAATCTTAAGGGGAATGCTTCCAGATTTGCTCCTACACGTCGCTGTTAGGTCGCTTTGCCGGGATAATTTCACATGGTGCAACAGGAGCGACACGTGGTGTGGCGGATCACGCTTCCACTGCGACAGCGGCGCCGGAGGGGGACATACTTCCAGAGCGCCAGGCCCAGGACAGTCGCTCCGTGCTCGAGGCCTTGGGGGCGCAGGATCTGCCGGGGATAGGCTTCGCACGGGATGCTTCGACACGGCGAGGCTCCCCGTGTTGCTGTTGCGGCTCGCCGTCCCTGGTTTTGTGTCTGTGTTAGGGTTCCTTTCAAGGTTAGCGTCTGTAGACTTGACCAGCCTCACGCGATTGAGGGTGCGAGCGCGAACGATCTCTATCCACCGCTCCCGCCGAGTGGTGAACCATTTGTGCGTACGAAAGTGTCCGAGCCCTTTCCATGCAGGACGAGACGAGCCGTATCAACGAGCAGCCGGGAGCCTAGCAGCTCCCTTGTTGACAGAGCATGTTTCGAAGAACCCTCGTGCAGTTGTTCGCACTCATCGTTTCCCTTACGGCGTTGCCCTCTTCACCAAGCTGGCACTCAATGTAGCCAATTGGTGCTGAAGCTGCAGCCCACTCGTCTCCATCGTGGGAAAAGCGTTCTGGACTGGAGAAGAATTCCAGAAATACAGGCTTCTCGATGTTGTCATTACTCACTCCCCATAGCGGTGAAAGTGCTGAGTGCGTGTACATCGTTTCCCGAGCCACTTTTCATGCCAAATCCTCTTCCTCTGTCTATATGTTACCACCTAAGGTTGGCTGCTACGACTGCGGAGTGTCAGGCTCTGACCAAGCAGACGGCATGGTACGACGTTTTTACGTGGGTTGCGCTCGCACTTTGCGTGATGCTTTGCGCCATGTTGTTCCGCAGCCCTTGAGCTGATCGCCTGGTCTCGGGGTCGTCGTCCGTGCTCATTGATAATCGTGCGACGTTCTTTATCAAGCAGTTCGGGCTGCGTCCTAGGGTGTCGAAAAGGCTTCGTCCTTCACCGCTGGGCCCCACTCTGATGGATGATGTGCCTGAGGGCAGCTGGGTTCGTAACGTCTATGGGTCCTCTTGGCGCAATTCTGGGGCTGGCCTTTCGCAGCATTCTGTCAGATTGGGGCATCCCGGGGCCGTGTTGGCACCATCTCTGAGCCTGGTTGGGCCATGCCTTGCAGGCTCCAGGAAGCTTCAGGAGGAGGAAGCCTCCAGGAAGCCCTTGGAAATCAGAGGCTGCGGAATATCTCCGAGGGGCGCTAGTAGTAACACTTCTGTCCTGGGAAGCACTGCGCGGTCATAATCAATGGCTCTCGTTTGCTGGACAAAAGCAACCTCACCATACATAAGCAACTCCATCATAGTGCTTGCTTCACTTGGGCCAATCCACCATGTACGTACCTCCAGATCGGCCAACTTGCAGAAGTTCGGAATTCCCACACGTGCATGGCCACCAGTTTGCAGAATTCACCATCGTGCTGTATACTCGGTCGCAAAAAGATAGATTCTCATCAGCGGGGGGCGCAATCCTGCTTAGACTGATTGCCCGCGAGGCGGCCGGCGGACCTTGAATCCGTTTTGCAAGCCATATTGGCAGATTCGTCCGGGATTTTAGGATGCAAGTGCAATTCGCGCAGCCACTTCGTCGTGTACAGCATTGGGAAGCTGGGCACCGCGACGGAGTTTCATATGCGGCTCTCAGTTTGCCTTCCCAGGCTCTAGACCAAGTCAGGGACCTTGGCTGGGTCTCGGTAAGAAAAAGCGGTCGTTGTCAGCTGTACGCTGTCTTTTGGTGAGTCCATTATGCGTTGCAACGTCGCTCGCATTTGCTTCTCATTCTTTCTCCAGTTAATGATGTTGTGGTAGTATCAAGTGAGGGGGCCGAACGGTCATTCACTGTCCTTGGGTGGGTGGCTGAAGTGGTATTCCGCGGCGCGACTTCTGTTTGTTGTTGTTCTTGTCGGTGTTGTCGTTGCGTTACGTTGCGTTGCGTTTCGTTGCGCTGTTGTTGTTGTTGTTGTCGTCCCCCCCGCGACCCGCCCGCGAACCTCCCGCGACCCACCCGCGACCCACCCGTGACCCACCCGCGACACACCCGCGACCCACCCAGCGACCCACCCGCGACCCACCCCGCGACCCACCCGCGACCCACCCCGCGACCCACCCCGCGACCCACCCGCCACCCACCCGTCACCCACCCGTCACCCACCCGCGCCTCGGTCCGCCACCCACCCGCCACCCACCCGAGACCCACCCGCAACCCACTCGCATTGTTTTAACAAAGAGATCGGTGCCTGCGGCGGGGTAGTTGTACAAATTGTGAAATTGAAGCGTTTACGGCGGGCTTCTTCAGAACCTCGCAGACGGGCGATGTCCCCGCGCCCCCCTCACTCTTATCCGCAATTGCGGAGGGCTATGTATGCTTGCGGGTGAACTTGCATTCGCTCTGTATGGTCTCCTGGTATGCCTTTCGTGTTGCTTGTGTTGGTTCTTTGGACCAGACCTTGGGCGATCTTGTCCGACAGCCGCGATGTTCCCATTCGGTTGTTTCCCTTGGAATTGCCTCGTTGGAAGTAGTTGCGCTGCGGTGATGCGTATTGGGGGCAGGTGGACCAGAAAGGAGAACGCGGAAGGGGAAGTGTGAAGGGGAGGACGAACAGGTGGAGGACGAGATGAGGATAAGGACGACGACGAGGAGGAAGAGGGGATGTGTGATCACCATCAGCATGAAAAGGTTGAAGAGGTCCCGAGCGCTCAGGAGGTGGAGGGCGACCGGAGAGGATGCCGAGACGAAGAAAGAGGACGGGAAGGATGGTAATGAGGGCAAGAAGGAGAACGAGGCGGACAAGTAAGGCAAATCGGACATTAGGTTAGAAAAGTTGGGGAGAGGATTCGCGCAGGAACCAGTTCACTAGTTGTAAATTGGTGTAGACAGAGATAGATACAACATCCGCTCGTGTAGATACGGCAGAGCGGTGCGCTTTCATAACATAAGCCTTCTACGAAGGCCGTCCGTGCTCGTGGATGGCACCGTCAAGGCTGGCGTCAGAAAGCGAGACCGAGGGAGAGAGAGCGAGAAAGAGAGAGAGAGAGAGAGAGAGAAAAAACAGAGAAACCAGACCAGACGAGCCGAGACGAGAAATGGGGCACAAAACATCACAGGAAGAGGCAATGATAGTTTGAGGATGGGAGGAATAACCAATACGTCGACGTGAGAAAAGAGGAGCATGTGAGGGAGGGAAGAGGGGGAGGTCAGGGAGAAAGGAGGAAGAGGTGGGAGGCGAGGGACAGCGTCAGATGACCCTCGGACTGGCGAGTAGCCAGGAGTCATGCTCCCTGCGGCCTTAGCCCTTCCAAGGTGCCGGGGCGGCGAGAAGGGGGCGTGCTAAACCACAACGCACTGTCGAGGGAGGGTGGATGGCTTGGAGGAGGGGGACCAGGGAGATCAAGAGTACAAGACCAGGAGGCGAGCTGGGCTGGACACCGAACAACCTCCTTCCTCTCCCCTCGCTCTTGCCGCCGCTGCTTCGCTGTTGCCAGCGCTGGGGTCAGGGGTTCCGCCTGGCAGGACCAGACCTTGTCCTCCAGAGCACCCGCCAGCGGCACCCTTCATTTCGCGGGCGGGATACACATCCACGTTCACCGCCTCGCGGTCTGGACTTCCGCGTCGCGACCCCACGGACGGATTCAAAGCGTCGTTGTGCAGGTGCCTTGCGCGAGACGCATCCACAGGAGCGCGTATCTATGGGTGCGCGCCTGTCCAGAACGCGAGGGCATGGACCTGCATACAGCAGGTTCACCAGACAGGAAGCCGGGCTGCCAGCAGGTGCCCCACGGAAGCGTTCTGCCATCTGATTGCCCCAGGGACCCACCGAAGTTCCAGGGCACCCCAAGACCCTCAAAGATCGACGAATAATGTTCGAAAACGAAACAAAAAAACGCCATACACATTACCCCGACTGTAGGACCCCGCAGGATAATCCTCTCGGCTAATCTGGAAATGACCCTCATCGTCGTGCTCGTGATATGGGGAGCCTGCGTTGCCAAAGGCTCACGCAGTTGACGAGGCCAGGGTCTCTCGCCGTCGACTGAGTGATTACCAACTGTGCGGCCAGAGGCTCGCACAGCTGACGAGGCCAGAGGCTCTCGCCGACGCTGGCTGGATCATACAGGAGCCGTACGTGGCCAGAGGCTCGCATACCTGAGGAGGCCAAAGCTTCTCGCCTCGTTGAATGCGACGCCCGCAACCCAGCGTGGCCAGAGGCACGCACGCGCATATACCTCACCAATCACTCACTGAGCAGGCTCCCGCCCAATACTTCCCCCATGTTAAGGCATCTGGAACCCCAAGAATGACGACAGGTACAGGTTTAAGGAGGACCCGCCCCGGATTCCAACATGAGCAGCGGGCCCCATCAGGCGGAGGCTCCCGCCTGAGACGTCCTCGCTATTCACTCACAGTCGAGGCTCCCGCCTGATACTCCTCCCACATTCAGGCCTCAGGAACCCAAAAAGGACGACAGTCACACGAGCCCGATGACCCGCCTCGGATTCGAACATGGAGCGCGGGCCCCATAGGGAGGGGGTTCCCGCCTTAATTTGTTTTTTGCAATTCTCTCACAGTCGAGGCTCCCGCCTGAAACTTTCTCCATACTCAGGCCCCAGGGGCCCAAAAGTGACGACACATACAGGGTTCCGATGACCCGCCCAGACAAGTGGCACGTGTGCCATAGCCCTTGCACAAAAAGGAAGGGGGAGGAGGAGGAGGAGGAGGAGGAGGAGGAGGAGGGGGGGGAGGAGGAGGAGGAGGAGGAGGAGGAGGGAGGAGGAGGAGGAGGAGGAGGAGGAGGGAGGAGGAGGGGGAAAAGGGGGCAAGGCATCGCCCTCTGGGCCCAGCAACGGGGCCCAAGTCCCAGGTGGGGAGGGGGGGGAGGCGGCGTGCGTCGCGACGCGGAATAAAGTGCTCGGAGCGGAGGGAGCACGGGGCGGAGGTCCCACTGGGGCGCTGGGGGCGCGGAGAGGAGGGGGGGGGGGTGTGTGCCGCGACGCGGAATAAACTGTCGGGGCGGAGGGGGCACTGGGCGGGGCTTGGGGCAGAGGGCCACGGGGCGGGGGTCCAACTGGGGCGCTGGGGAAAGGGGGGGAAGGGGGGGAGGTGGCGTGCGTCGCGACGCGGAATAAAATTGTCGGGGCGGAGGGGGCACGGGGCGGAGCCCCCGCTGGGGCGCTGGGGACGCGGGGGGGGAGGTGGGGAGGTGGTGTGCGGCGCGACGCGGGATGAAGCGTTAGTGGCGGAAGGGGCAGTGGGCGGGCCCCCGCTGGGGCGCTGGGGACGCGGGGGGGCTCGGGGCAGAGAACCACGGCGCGGGGGTCCCACTCTGGCGCTGGGGGCGCGGAGGGGGGGGGGGCGCGACGCGTAATGCAGCGTTCGTGTCGGAGGGGGCAGTGGGCGGGGGCCCCGCTGGGGCGCTGGGGACGCGGTGGGGCTTGGGGCAGAGAGCCACGGCGCGGGGGTCCCACACTGGCGCTGGGGACGCGGGGGCGGGGGGGGGAGGTGCGACGCGGGATAAAGCGTTCGTGGCGGAGGGGGCAGTGGGCGGGCCCCCGCTGGGGCGCTGGGGACGCGGTGGGCTCGGGGCAGAAAGCCACGGCGCGGGGGCCTCACACTGGCGCTGGGGACGCGGGGGGGCGGGGGGGGGCGACGCGGGATAAAGCGTTCGTGGCGGAGGGGGCAGTGGGCGGGGCCCCCGCTGGGGCGCTGGGGACGCGGGGGGGCTTGGGGCAGAGAGCCACGGCGCGGGGGCCCCACTCTGGCGCTGAGGACGCGGGGGGGGGAGGGTGGGGGGGGGGGACGGGGCGACGCAAAATAAAATGGTCGGAGCTCTAGACACCCTGTGCAAGAGAATAAAATGGTCGGGGCGGAGGGGGCGGTGCGCTGGGCTGGGCTGCTGGGGAAGGGGGGGGGCGGGGGGGGCGACGACGACGCCGAAATAAAGTGGTCGGGGCGAAGGGGGCGGCGCGCTGGGCTGCCGGGGGATGGGGGGGGGGGGGGGCGACGACGACGCCGAAATAAAGTGGTCGGGGCGGAGAGGGCGGCGCGCTGGGCTGCTGGGGAGGGAGAAGGGGGGGCGACGACGACGCCGTCGGGGCGGAGGGGGCACGACGCTGAAATAAAGTGGTCGGGGCGGAGGGGGCAGCGCGCTGGGCTGCTGAGGAGAGGAGAGGGGGGGGGGGGGCGACGACGACGCCGAAATAAAGTCGTCGGGGCGGAGGGGGCGGTGCGCTGGGGTGCTGGGGAGCGACGCATAGCGACGCATGTCGACACAACGCCGAAATAGGGCGACGACGACGCCGAAATAAAGTGGTCGGGGCGGAGAGGGCGGTGCGCTGGGCTGCTGGGGAAAGCGACACATGTCGACACAACGCCGAAATAGGGCGACGACGACGCCGAAATAAAGTGGTCGGGGCGGAGAGGGCGGTGCGCTGGGCTGCTGGGGAAAAGGACCGGGGGGGGGCGACGACGACGCTGATATAAAATGGTCGGGGCGGAGGGGGCAGCGCGCTGGGCTGCTGAGGAGAGGGAGAGGGGGGGGCGACGACGACGCCGAAATGAAGCGGTGCGCCGGGGTGCTGGGGAGCGACACATAGCGACACATGCCGACACAACGCCGAAATAAAGTGGTCGGGGCGGAGGGGGCAGCGCGCTGGGCTGCTGAGGAGAGGGAGAGGGGGGGGGGGGGACGACGACGCCGAAATAAAGTCGTCGGGGCGGAGGGGGCGGTGCGCTGGGGTGCTGGGGAGCGACACATAGCGACACATGTCGACACAACGCCGAAATAAAGTGGTCGGGGCGGAGGGGGCAGCGCGCTGGGCTGCCGAGGAGAGGGAGAGGGGAAGGGGGGGGGGGCGACGACGACGCCGAAAGAAAGTCGTCGGGGCGGAGGGGGCGGTGCGCTGGGGTGCTCGGGAGCGACACATAGCGACGCATGTCGACACACATCGACATATAGAGACACAGGTCGACACACACACACATATCGACGCATAGCGACACACACAGCGACACATAGCGACGCACACATGGAGACGCATAGCGACACACTGCGACACATATAGCGGCACATGAAGGGCACAAGGCACACAGCGACACATATAGCGACACATGAAGGGCACAAGGCAGCTGGGGGGGAGCGACGACGACGCCGAAATAAAGTGGTCGGAGCTCTAGACACCTTGTGCAAGAGAATTAAAAAACATGAGCTGCGGGCCCCATAGGGAGGGGCTCCCGTTTGAGATTTCGCCACAATCCATTGACAAACGAGGCTGCCGGTTTCATCTGCCTCATGCTCAGGCCCCAGGATCCCAAAAATGACGACCGTTACAGGGTTCCGATGACCCGCTTCGGATTACTCATATGAGCTGCGGGCCCCATCGTGAGGAGGGTCCCGCTTGAGACTTCGTCGCAAGTCACTCACAGACGAGGTTCCTGCCTGATACTTCCTCCAGATACAGGCCTCTGGGGCTCCAAAGTGACGACAGTTACAGGTTTGAGGATGACCCGCCTCGGATTGCGAACATGATCTGCGGGCCGCATGAGGAGGGACTCCCCCTTGAGACTTCGTCGCAACCCACTCACAAGCGAGGTTTCCGACAATTCTTCCATATTCAGGCCCACGAGCCCAAAATTAACGACAGTTGAAGGCGTCCGATGACCGCCTCGGATTTCGAACATGAGCTGCGGGCCCCATAAGGCGGGGGCTCCCGCTTGAGCCTACTTCGAAATTCGCTCACAAACGAAACTCCCGCCTGATATTTCCCCTGCAGTCATGCCTCAGGGGCCCAAACGCGTCGACAGGTACAGGGTTCGGATGGCCCGTTCGGATTATTAACGTGAAGTGCGGGCCCCGTAGGGAGAGGGATCCCAGTTCTTCGAAGGTCACTCACAGACCAGGCACCCGCCCGAAACGACACACAGGCAAGTGATGATGATGATGATGATGATGCTGATGATGATGGTGATGAGGATTGTGATCATGTGAATGGTGTTAATGATGGTGAGAATGAAGCAGGCGGTGATGATGGTGTGGGTGAACGGTTGAATGCGTGAGAGAGCCATTCAGGAGAAGTAGCTGAGCGAGTGGGAGAGTGAGTCAGCTATGCGTGAACGAGAGTGACCGGGCGAGGGTGCGATGGTGATGTGGGTGTGTGGGTGCGTAAGCGAGAAAAGGCCAGAGAGACCGTCATCAAGACAGACCGTCATCACGGTCTGTCTCGCAGAAGAGTGGGTAAATTATGGGTGAGTGAGGGTGGTCGAGTGAGTGTGTGCGAGTGAGTGGACGGCGATGGGGCTTGATGGTGCTGATAGGATGGTGGCACTGATGATAATGAATAAGATGATGATTGACGGTGATGATGCTGTTGCTGCTGGTGATGATAATGATGATGGTGATGGTGATGATGCTGATGATAGGAGGAGTGGGTGTGAAGAGGGCAGGGTGTGGGAGGACTACGCCAGGTGTCAAGAGAAAACAAGAACCGCACTTAGGATGTGGGGAATACATGTTTGGCGGTCCGTACGGATTTCTTGGATCCGCGCTGGGCCCCCCCGGGCGGCGCCTCCGGCGCGCCCACTGCGCGCTCCGCGCCCCAGGGAGGGGGATCCAGGGCGGATCCGAGAAATTTGCGCGGCGCGAAAGTTTATGTTTGTATGCTTGTTTTTCTTATAAGTGTGCCCCGATATTCGTATGGAAAGATGTCTCATCATATGTGGTCACAGTGCGTCCGTCGCTCGTGCTGCCCCGCGCGCCAGGTCAGCGATGTGCTGGACGCCGCCAAGGCGGCCAGTGGCCTTCCCGTCAGCGCTGTGGACTTCGTCGAGATGTGCGGCGGCTGCTCGCGCGTTCCGTGGGTTAAGGAGGGCCGCCGCGATCAGAGGAGGGATCGGTTACAGTTCGAAGAAGAATATTGACATAAACATCAACTGTTGGCGCTCCGCGCGGGTTTCTTGGATCTGCGCTGGGCCCCCCCGGCGGCGCCTCTGGCGCCGCCCTTGGCGCGCTTCCAAGGATTCCGCGCGGAGTGCAAAAAAATTGTTTTTATGGCGTGTTTTCTTTTTCTCATAGTGCATGCCCCTCAGATGGAGTCGGAGTAGATGGGGTAAGAGGAGCGCGTCGTATCACCGATGCATCGCCGAGGCGGCTCAATGTGCAGCCCGCTTTGCTTCGGGCCGACGTCGCCGATGCATCGCCGACGTCGACGATGCTTCGCCGCGACCACTGGCGGTACGGCTCCAAGAGGTGGTGCTTCAGCTCCATGCTCGCAGCGCGCGCGTTGCGCCTTCCCCTTCCCTTGCGTCGGAGAAGAACGAGCGCCATGAACATTAACTTGTGGCGCTCCGCGTGGGTTTCTTGGATCCGCGGCTTGAAGAAGTGGTGCCTCGGCTCCAGGTTCGGAGCGCGCGCTCCGCCTTCGCCCTCTGGTGTTTTTAATCGAGTCTCAGACGATCGGGTTCCTGGCGCCCAGCTGTGGGGCGTTCATCTGGGGGTCGTGTCCACCCCAAAAAAGGATCCTGGCGAAGGACCCAACCATATGCAGCTGTGAGTACCGTGTTGTGGGTACCGCTCTCGGTGGAACCCCTTTATGGGGCCACGATCCCCGTGAGGGGTGTGTCGATATGGGCGGGGGGACGAATGCAAACAACCCCTGCCGCTGGGGCCTTCGGTGGACCACGATCCTCGTGAGGGATGTGCCGAAATGGGCGGGGGGACGCACGCAAACCCTGCCGCTGGGGCCTTCGGTGGAGCTCCCTATGGGGCCACGGTCCTCGTGAGTGGTGTTCCGAAATGGGGGGGGACCCATGCAAACCCTGCCGCTGGGGCCTTCGGTGGATCCGCGTGAGCGGTGTCCGTGGAACTCCTTGCGGGCCGCGATCCGTGTGAGAGGTGTGCCGAACTGAGCGGGGTGATGCTATGAAGCCGCCCTCTGGTGCCGCAAATGCAAGCAACTTGCGGGGCACGATCCGCGTGATGGGCGTGCCACTATGCGAAACTCGTCTCTGGGGACGTAGGTGGATCTCCGTGTGAGGCGCGATCTCTGTGAGGGGTGTGCTGGCATTGGCGGAGAGACCCTATGCCAAGCCTGTCTCCGGGCCGCAGGTGGAGCTCAGTATATATATATATATATATGTATATATATATATATAAACACATATATATATATATATATATATGTCTATATATATATGTACATACATAAACATAGAGTTGACACATAATGGGAAGGGGGTCCCGGGGCCCCCAAAGTGCACTGATTTGTCTTCCAGCCGTTTTGGGCCCGGCGAGGGGCGCCCAAAAACGTCAAATGGGTCGAATGACGTCCAAGAAGGCGCCAAGATGACCCAAGAGCGCTCCAAGAGAGCCCAAGACCGCACAAGAGCCTTGCACAATTTGTCCAACATGGCTTGAAGACGGCCCAAGAGGGCTTCAAGACGGCCAATATGCCCTCAGAAAGACTCCCACGAGGCACTCAGGAGGCGAAACAAGTATGTTTTGTTCGAATGGGTTTTGAAGGTTTTTCGTGTTCTCGCTGTTTCGTGATCCCGACGGTCCAAGAAATTAGCTCAAGACGGCTCAAGAGGCACTAAAAGAGGGCGCCATGACGGCGCAAGTGATCGGAGGCCTAGAGAATGACACCAACACCCACATCGGCGGTTTGCCTCCACCGAGGGAAGATGATCCTGATCTCGGTGATGGTGGTAATATTCGAGTTTCCTGCGTGGCCGAAAGATTTCCACCAACACGGAAATCTATGACCATTTTCCCCTTGTGGAGGCAAACCCCTTGTGTTGGTGTTGGTGCCCATTTCCAAGCCTCCAAAGAGAGTCCTAAGACGGCCCAATAGTGCCCCAAGACGGCCCAAGAGTCGCCCAAGATCGCCCAAGAGGGCCCCGAGACGGCCCCGCGACGGCCCCAAGAGGGGCCCAAGAGGGGGAACACGAACCGACAATTCGAGCGTTCCGCCCCAAGGGGGACTCCAGGAGGCCCCAAGAGGCCCCCAACAGAGCCCAATAGGCTCCCTAGAGGCCCGCTAGAGGCCCAACGAGGCTCCAAAGGGGCCCAACACGACGCCCCACGAGCATCCGTAGCCACTTTGGCTCAAGGTGGCTCTGACTGCAGCGCGTAAGCTCTCATCATATTTGCCCATCACCATGCTGACCCCGCGACCAGGCCCCTGAGGCGTGAGACGGCCCACTTTTCCAAAACTCCCTCCTCCCGCGGTGCCCACTGTGTCCCTCGGGGTCCGGGACTCACTGCAGGCCTTCGGGTGGCTTTCGGAGGGCCCGGCGGCGCTCCCCAGACGGTCCGGGAGGCTTCCGAGACGGTCCCAGAGTGAGCCAAGACGCCCAAGATGGCTTCAAGACGGCCCGAGAGGCCCCCCAAGCCCCTCAAGGGGGCTCCAAGAGGACCGCGAGAAACACATCGCCCCAATTCCTCGGGGAAGCGTATATGTTTAGCATATTCGTTTTTCGTTATTACTAGTGTCCACGACGGCCTCAGAGAACCCCAAGATCGCCGCAAGACATCCCACAAGGCATCCAAGACGGCCCAAGAAACCCCCAGGATCGCCCCAAGACGTCCCACAGAGCCCTCCAAGACGGCCTCCGTAGGCGTCTGTGGATCCCAGAGCGCTCTGAGACAGTCCAAGAGGCCCACAAGACACTCCACTCCACACCACTCCCCGCTCCTCCCAGATCGTTCCCATTCCTCCCCATCCCGCCCCGCTCCAGGCAAGTGTGCGCGAGTCGGTTGCGTCTCTGGCCGCGAAATCCTGCCAGTGCATACCTGCATGTACGACCACCCTCCGGGTGATTAGGAGGTTGTGTGTGTGGTGAAGGGGGGACCAACTCAGAGCATAGCACAGCATCGCATAGCATAGCACAGCACAGCATAGAAGAGCATAGCGTAGCATATAATAGCATCGCATGGCATCGCATACCATTGCATCGTACGTAATAACATACCATCGCGTAACACAGTTTAGAGTAGAATCGTAGATCATAGCATCGCATCGCATCGCATAACATAATCGGAGGTTGGGGGGTGAGATCGCAGTGCAACGGAGACCCCCCTCCGGGAAATCGGTTTCGGTTTCGTGTTCGTGTCGCGCGTGCCGGCGAGGCGAAGCTGCGCGTGATCCTCCTGTAGCCAGGCCGAAGTAGGAGCGAAAGTCCGTTCCCGTCCGCCGGTGGCTGGGAGGTGTCACAGTTGGGCCGGGCGGTGTCCCGGCTGTCCCGGGTGTCAGTAGGAACGAAAGTTCGTTTCCCGTCCGCCGGTGGCCGGGAGGTGTCCTAGCTGGGCCAGGCGGTGTCCCCGGTGTGCCGGGTGTCCCGGGCGTCCCGGCGCTAACGCATGTCGCTAATTTAATGTTTTGTTTCGGCGTTTGCGGCGGGTTTTCTTATCCAACCCAGCTTACGTTATCCAATCCATTTTGTCCAATCCATGCCATCTTATCTTATTCAGCCCTTCTTGTCCCATCTTATCTTTTCCTTTCAATCCAATCCACCCAACACAATCCATCAATTCATTTATTTCTGCACCTGCGGCGGGCCAATCCAATCCTTTTCATATTATCAGATTGATATATTCCAATCCATCCAGCCCATCTTATCTTATCAAAATCCATCTTATCCAATCCAATCCACAAAACCCAATCCATCAAATCATTTTTGTCGGCGCCTGCGGCGGGTTGTCTTATCCAATCTAGCTTATACTATCCAACTCATCTTGTCCATTTCATTCCATCTTATCTTACCCAACCGATATGGTCCCATCTTATCTTATCCCACCCAATCCAATCCATCCAACCCAATCCATCAGTTCATTTGTTTCTGCGCCTGCGGCGGGTCAATCCAATCCATCTTTCTTATCCAATCGATCTCTTCCAATTCAACCCATCTTATCTGATCCACTCCATCTTATCCTATCCAATCCAATCCACCCAACCCAATCCATCAATTCATGTTTGTCGGCGCTTGGGCGCGATCGCGGCAGACTGCAAAGCTCGAGCGGTCGGCGCCCTTGCCTTTCGGAAACCGCATATGGCGTCCCTCCGTCCGCGTGCCATGGCGTCTCCTGATGCCTTGCGGTTGTCTTGTGATTGTCTCGTGGATGTCTGGTGATTGTCCTGATGGTTGTCTGGTGGTTGTGCCGATGGTTGTCCTGTGGTTGTCCGGCAACAAATCGTGTTTTGGCGCCTGCGGCGGGCTTTCTCATTTTGCTTTTGAGGTCGATAGTGAGATAGACAGTGAGATTCACCGATGGGTTGGTCGACGGATAGGTAGGTAGTGGGATCTCATCGTCATCGCGATCGTCATTGTGGTGGACGGAGACTCTGATAGAGAGGGGGAAAGAGAGAGAGAGAGAGAGAGAGAGAGAGAGAGAGAAAGAGAGGGCGAGACAGAGAGAGAAAGCGAGAGAGAGAGAGACAGAGAGAGAAAGAGAGAAAAAGAGAGAGAGAGAGAGAGACAGAGATATATATAGAGAAACAAGAAAGATATGATATCAAGGCGACAGGCTGATGGTCAGCCAGGGTGGGCATTTGATCTCAATCCCCCCAAGCCTCCTTGTCGCCCGCAGGGCGGTCGTATAGGTATCGCATCGCAGCGCAGCACATAGCTTAGCGTCCCATTGATAGCATAGCGTAACATTGTACACCATCGCATCGCATAGCATAGCGCAGCATCGACGGGACACTTCGGGGCCCCCCCAGGCCATCGCCGGCCAACGGGGGGTCACCGCGGGACACCGCGGGACACCCCTGGGCCACCGTTGGCCAGACGGGGGGAACGCGATTTCTTGGCGACGGGTGTCTTGTTCACTTCGATCTGTTTCCCAACCTCGGAGTCTACCTGCCTGGTGCGCAGACAATCGTTTGTTTCGTTCCACCTCGCCCCCCCCCCCCATCCGAGGGCCCGAAGAAGGCCCAAGAGGATTCAAAAAACGGCCCCAGAGTGTCCGGAGTCCTTCCCCAAGAAAACCCAATGGGATTTCAAGAGAGAGCCATGAGAGTCCTCTGGGCCGTCTTTGGACGGGCTTGGGGCGTCTGGCGGCCGTTTTGAGGCGGTCTCTCGCTCAGGGCGCCGTGGAACCGTGGAGCCAAGTGCAGAGGGCGCGATTTTGTGATGATGCGCGCGGCAGGGGGGCGTCGCTCCCAGAAAACATCATAAACAGGTTCCAAAAGCCAACAAACACTCGCACGGGCCCAACGTGCTTGCGACAGGGTGGCGGAGTTGCACTGTTGGTCTTCGATTGTTCAGCAAGGAGTTGTCTGGCGCCTCAGTATGTGTGCCGTTCGCGCCAAGGCGTGTCGGACCTAAAGAGTCACGCTGGTACGTTGTACGTGTGTGGAATGTCGAACGGCGAACGGCCGTCCCCTCCGATAATAGACAGTGGAACAAAAAAAAGGGTGGATACGTCGAAAGGTACTGAATGTAATAGGAGAAGGCGACCGGTGAAGAAGGTAACGGGATTTGTTTCGAGTTGGGCCCACTGCAAATTATTTGCCCTTGTTGTACAGCTGGATTCGTCACCACATACCGCGTGGAATCAGGTTGGCGATTCGTTTTTTTTGAGCAGGGTGAATTACGAGGATGATGAGGAGCAGGAGGAACAAGAGAGGAAACGGATGTGGAGGATGATGACAACTATGGGGAGTTTGGCGTCACCATCTCGACTTAGCCCCCCCTGTTGCCACCCCTTCTCCCCCGTTGCTTCTTCTTCTTCCTGCCTTACTCCTCTCACATCCTTTCTCCCTCCTCCAGTTCCTCCTCCTCCTCCTCGCGTTACCCGCCTTCCCCATGGGGAATTACGCAATCAGTTATCAGAGTCTATGTCTTTGCGAATACGGCGTAACACCCCGCCGCGTGTTCAGTTCGCCCATTCATGGACCAACCAGTGTGCTATGACTCCACCTTGTTCTGTGCACCGACAACCGGGTTTCTGGCCTTGGGGTGGCCCACTTTCTCAAACTCTACCCGTCACAACACACTTGCTCCCCGTGGGCTCTGGGATTATCCTTAGGGTCTTTGTGCGATTTGTTTCTGCCTGAAGAGGATTCCGAGCTGGTTCAGGAGGACGCCCGCTGGCCGCCAAGATGGCCCCTCGGTGGCCCAAGACGCTCCAAGATGTTTCAAGGCGGCCCCCAAGGGCCACAAGATGCCCCAGTGGAACTCCCGAAAGGCCCTCCAAAATGACACCAGTGAGCCATAAACGCAAAAACCATTCAGGTTTCTACATACTCAGTAGATCTCGTGCTCTCCTCCTTCGGATGGCGTGGGGAGAGCTTCACATGGCCCCGAGGCTCGAGACGGCCTCACAACTTCGAAGAAGAGCCCAAGAGGGCCCCAAGCGGGCCCCAAGGCCTTCAAGGCAGCCCCAGCAGGAAGATCCCCAAGAGACCCCTGAACAGCTGCAAGGCCCCGCATCATCCCAAGCAAGAGGAGGCCGTCCATAGAACGAGACACGAAACGCGAGGACAACCGAGAGAGACTGGATAGTTAACCAGGAAGGAGGTATGAGGAATAATCGAGGATGAAGGGCCAAGGCATGGGATGAGTCAGTCCGAAAAGCAATCGCAGCTAACAACGCCATGTCATGCGCTAGATCCCATGTGCGCGCGACGCGCGCGCGTTTCCTGTACATATATATATATATATACACATATATAACTATGCAAAATACAGGTCTATGTATGTTTATATATATGCAGTCACACATATGGTGGAATCTACACATCATGTCTGGCGGCTTCATGCGGCGACTGGCGACCGCTAGGCGGACACCCCGAAACGCCAGCCAGCGCGCGGATCGGCGACGAGGCGGCGACCGGCGATCGTGGAGGCGAGGGGGGCGAATGGGAGAGGGGATGGCGGGGAGGCTACGGCTAAGTCAGGGGGGGAACTGGTGCCAATGCTGCCGCTCGTCCTGGAGAGCCCTCGCTGACACGGCTGGCCCGCCTGGGAATCTTGGGCAGAATGCGTCCCGGGATAGGTCCAGGGGCGAGTGTTACCGGTGTCGTTTTGCCCCTCCCAGGGAGGGCGGGGAGGCTAGGCGCTAAGCCGACGTGCGCCGAGAGCAAGGGGTGGGCTAGAGGCACCTCCTCCTTGCCCTCCGCCAGCCAGCTCGACACCTTCCCCGACCGCTCCGTCGCAGTGGACGGGATGGCACGGGCGTGTGAGTGGGAGGGGGCTGTTGCTCTTCGTGGCGCATCAAGTCACGCAGACCCGCGAGGCCCCTCACAGGGAGGAGGCAGACATGGCAGGCGAGACTCGACATGAGTGGACCACCCACCCTCCCATTCCATGTGGGCCCATCGAACATCCCCGAAGAAGACTAGGGAACTTGTGGACCCCTTTCTAGCAAATGCCCAGGAAACCTCGAACAAGTGCGGGAATTGCCGGGGATCTCCGACACCCTCCCGAGCTCGCCAGGAGATGTGCTCGCAGGCTTTCGGCGGCAAGGAGCTCTCCACCACCATGAACGCGGACGAGTGCGTGGCGCGCGGTTGCACACTGCAGGCTCGCGCGACCCTCGGCGTCGTTATCCTCGATGCCGTCACCGTCGCCGTCGTCATTGCCGTCATCGGCGCCGACGTCGGTCTCCAGGGGGGAGTGAGAGAGAAGAAGGCAGCCTTCCCCCCATCGCCGCTCTTTTCCCCTCCCCAGCCTCGTTCTCACCCTCTTTGCTGTTGTTATTTTCCTCCTCCCCGTCCGTCTCGTCCTCGTCTTCAGCTTCCTCCCGCCCCTCATCATCCTCTTCCTTTCTCCCTTCCATCACACGTGGCGATTGCTCACAATGCGCTCACTCGATACCCAGCTCTCGAGTAGGCAGGATATACCTGGCAAGCTAAGTAATGAGCAATCAGGGATGGCGTGCGGGATACGATCCGAGCGAAGAGTTTGGCCAGGTTCGGCTTGTCTCTGTATGGCATGAAGGCCCAGCTGTCGCCTTCATGACAGCTGATCCGTTGTCCCTCGGATACCTAAGTGAGGGGCGGTTAGCGTCACTGGGAGGGTTATGAGTCTCGGGCTCCAGATAGCGGTCCTGAAGCACAGACTCTGTTCAGCACAAGTGGTGCCATATTGTTTCTCGTGCGACGCACGCCTGGCTCGGCAGTGCCATCTTCCAGCCTGCGCTACGCGAAACGAGGGTCATGATGCACCCCCTTCCATCACACCCTTGAGTACTCCCTCCCCTCCTTGGTCCCAAGTTTGTCCCAAGTTTGTCTAGATGATCTGGCGCTGGCCTCGCCGAAACAAATGCTCACGTCCGAGCGATGCCAAGGAGGAAGCATCACGACCACCAGCCTGGGGGCGAAGCGATGTGCCGGGAGAGCTACCGCGAGGGCCTCGGCGGGCGCTTCGTTCAATTTTCAACTGCGCATGCGGGGGACCTTGCCCGTCCCATCGAGGCCGCGAGGCATCTTTTCGGCGAGGCCAGACAGGCACGTGACCACAAACTTCGGATGTCCCGCAGATGGTGTCTGCGCCGGCGCCCCCCCCCCCCCGCAGCGCGCGCTGGAGCAGCTGTGCCATGCTCTGCGTCGGCGGTGCTCGCATAGGTGGGTGCGGGGAACAGAAGGAATTTAGGCCCCTCCACGCCAGGCCCCAATCTTGGAACCATCTCGGGCCCAAGCCGGCCCTCTGCCACATCGCCCCCCCCCCCCCCCCCCCCCCTCTCGTCCTGACCCAGGGGCAGGGGTTGGGGCGTGCACGCCGTGTTGCACCCCCCTGGAACTCCTAAATCCTGGACCTGTGTCTACCGTGAACCCAAAACCTATGATTTTGCTTACGCCCAGTCGTCGTCACATAAATCCAGAACAATGAGGTCTTTGAAACCATTGTATCAAATTCCCAAACTGTGTTTGGAAAATTGATCCGTGCCCATACGTGCCTGCTATCGACGCGCGCTGTCGATTGCGTATGCATCACTCGTGTAGCGCAAGAGAAGGTCACTGCGCGTCCTCTCCAAAACGCTGCGTTTCCTGAAGAGGTAGGGGTGAGGGGCTCATTCGTTCAGACCCATTCGCTCTCAGACTCACGCAAACACCCACTCAACTTCAGACTCACTCACACTCACACGCTCAGAAACATCGTCGACACGCAGTCGTTAGGGTCCCCCCCCATAATATCCCGTTCCCTCACGTGGACAGGTGAACCACTGGTCGGGAGAGAAACGTCGGGGCAGGAACAAGGCGCCCGAGCATCCCAACCGCCCCTGGGCCCCGCGGGGGCCCCTGGTGGACCCACTGTAGCAGTGAGGAATCATATATGACCCGATAGTAGGCCTTCGAGGGGGACTTGGTCATTGCGTCCAACACATGGCCCCGGGGCCCTGACCGAGCAATCAACACAAGCATCGCATCGTACCAGTCGTCGTCGTCGTCAAAGTCTCCATGTGGGCCCAAAGATTTGAGCAGCAATGAGGGCTGCAGTTGTCGTGCAGGCCCCATCGGCCCCCTCAGGGGCCCCCTCCAGACCAACGGAGAAGCAGCGATGCGACTTTCAGCGATTTGCATGTGTTGCTATATGTTTTGAGGCCACTCTCGGAGACGGGAGGCGGGCAGAACGACGCATTACAGCAGTAGGCCGTGTGACGAGCATCTCTCCGTTGCGGGATTCAGATGAAAGGGAGCATGCATTTCTGTGGCCACCAGCTGATTGTATTGAGTGGCATCCCGATGACGTGCATCATATTCCAGCTGTCGATATGCCCCACGGTGGTTCGAAGAACGGGACTGGTTACGCTCGCCACTTCAAAGACGGTGAGATAAAGGACCCTTGCCTTCGGGGTGCCAGAGTTTGCATGCTGCTACCCAGACTTCAATATCAACAGTTCTCCGCTCTGAATCGCACATGGTTCGCGACGCCCGTCGGGCTGCAAATGAGGCTGGCATGACCAATCTCGCCGCCGTGGGCCCACTGCCCGCCCCAGGTTTCCCGCAGCAGGGCGACCCAGGCGACTCGCCAGGCGGGGGCCGCGGCGACGACGACCAAGACCTGGCCGACTACGACGACGACGTGGCCGATGCGAAGTGCACTCTGGACCAGATCGTTGCCGCAGTAATGATATCACACGGGGTAACTAACCATAACAATTTCAAAGTTGTCAGGCGAACTACTTTCAAGCACGCTGGTGTCGACCAGGTAGCTGGCCACATCGCACTACTCTAGACAGGTGGCGTTTCAAGGTTTCAACGTGGATCTGATGCTGATGCCCTTTCGTCGGGCGTAGTGGCAGCGTGGTTTCTATCGCGAGTGTTTTTTCCAGTTGGGCGCAGATGCTTTCCCGCGGACCGGCGAGGACTTCTTCCTAATTCTGGAAAGGGGTGCTCTCAAAGACAAGGTGCCCGGGCTGGGAACATGATCCTCTCAGTGTTCTCTCTGTCAAGGCGCGCGCCATGCCGTTGACTACTCTTGGATGGGGCGAAGAGAGTTTAGCCGCAAGAACCTTCGCGCCTGGTGCGTTCAGTGCGCTTGAAGACTCGGGGTGCTCACCAGGAGCAGCGCCGCTCAAAGACGAGGCAAGGTTGCGCTGACCAAGGCACTGAACGACGGTTCTGGTCTTGTCAAAATATCTTTGCCGCGGGCCAGGCTTCGCAGATCATCGAGCGGCTCGCGTCGGGAGACCTGCAGTTGCATGACATCGACGCGGGGCATGGGAAGATGTGGCCGAAAGCTTGGGATGCGCCTGGACATTTGCATGCGCGGTCCGGCGCGCTCAAAAAAATGCTTCGCCATGACGCAATGGAGGGCCTCGAAGCTGGCTTCCGTGGGCTTGGGGTGTTCATGGGAAAGCGTGGTCTTCGAAAGCGGTTCGTTAACTAGTGCCTCCAGGACCGCGTCGCTAACGCTGCAATGTTTTCCAAGTGGACGGACGGAAACCTTTTCTTGGAGGTGCGATAAGCTATCGATTTTCACGTTTCAGCTGCGTCCACGAATCCAAATGATGAGCGAAGCTTGGGGCTCAGACGGCATGTCGAAGCAAGAGCGTGATCGCGACAATGACTAGGAATCCAAAAGCATGTTGCGCCGCGTCACTGCAGCGCTTGCCGCGCCCAGCCTGCCGATCTTGATCGAGCTATTCTGGGTGAGAGCGCGGTGCATCTACACCGAGGGGCGTTGGCTAGGGGGGCGCCGCTGCCGCGGCAGACTGCATCTACCCTGCGTTGATTACATGCCCGATAACCGTTCCACTACGCACGAGGGCTCCACTCGGTGCCCATTGAAAGGGCGCCGCGCCGTGGAGCTCGCCATGGGCCATGCGGAGAGGTCTCGGCGCGCGCTCGTGGGGGCGACGTCGGACGAGCTGGCGCGCGCGCCGAGCGCGCGCGGCGAACCTTCCCGAGCCGCGCGCCTCCAGGGCAGCGCTATCCTGGTCGCGACCATCTCGGGCGAGTTGGCTGCGAAGTTCGCGCGCGCGCAGGCGAGCGCCCCATCCGTTCCCGACCAACCTGCGTTGTTGGGTCTTCGTTTTGAAGAGGCGGCCCCCGCATTTCCCCCCCCTCGCCTTGGGCGCCGAGGTGGCTCGCCGATTATGATGTCTCTCCGGCAGGGGCAGGAGATATGTGTCGGAGAATTGCAGATTCACATGTGTTTTGTGGGGTGACATGCACTTGGCCGCCGCAAATGCGCATCGCAACGTGGGCCCCCAGGAGCGGGACGCGATTTCAAACTTTGATGGTCGAGTTGGTTATGATTGGGGGGCTGGGCACATGCGCGCCTTATTTTTGGGCTTCCAAGAGAAGCGGCTTTTGAAGCTGATGAACGAAGCACACGGAAATTGCGATAGAAGGCAGCGGCCGCGCGCGTTTCACCTAAGAAAATACGCGTGATGGTTAAGGGGGGACACGCCGCAGCGTCCGTGCTCAAGTGGGGAGCGCGCGGCGGTCTGGGCACCTGCCGCGGCCTCGGTGGCGGCGAGGCGCGCTTTCGCCAGCGCCGGAGGTTATCGAGGTCTGCATCTCAGAGAAGGAACAGCATGAACCATCGTCTTCTGCAGCTCCGGCGCCGCAGGGGGCTGCAGCGGCAAAAGAGCGCGCCCGCCGCGTGGAAGGCCCCACATTCAGAGGGGGGGGAGGAGGAGGAGGAGGAGGAGGAGGAGGAGGAGGAGGAGGAGGAGCACCGGGAGCAGGAGGAAGAGCAGGAACAGGCGCAGGAGCAGGATCAGGAACAGGAGCAGGAACAGGGGGAGGAACACGAGTAGGAGGACGTGTAGGAGAAGCAGGAGGAGGCAGTGGTAAAGGCGAAAAGGGGATCTTGGTGCCTCCGCAGGCTTGACGCACTGGGTCGGGCGCCCGAGTTTGCTGAGCTCTCCTGCGACGCGTCTCGGCCCGGCGTTGTCCGCGCCGACCGAGCGCCCGATAGATTGGGGCGGCAGCGCCGGGTGGATCCCCCCGCGCATCAGGACACGCATCTGGATAGATGTAAGGGGGGCTGGACCAAGAGGACGGAGAGGAAGGAGAAAGGAGGAAGAAGGAGGAAGGAGACAGGAGGAAGAAGGAGGAAGGAAGGGAGTGGGCAACGATGCGTAGCAGATGCGCCTCCCAGGACGCTGTGCGAGTTGGCGGCGGCGCTGCGGCCGCAAGAGGCTCGTCGGGGGCCGGGGGGCAGGAAGCTGGGCTGCCAGCAGACCGGGGAGGATTCTAGGGCTCTGCCGCGGAAGGTCTTCTTGAAAGAGGACAGCAGATCCCTGGAGTGTTCCTCGCGTCTGCTGGCGGTGCTGGCGTTCTGTTGCTGGGGGATCGCCCAGAGTTTCCTCGGCTTTCGGCTGCGCGCTTGCGCGTGGAACGCGCCATGGCCTTTCACGCCGCGGCGGAAGCACGAGAGCAAGAGGCGGCGGGGGGCGCTGGCCGCGCAGCTCAGTGGCGGGCAGCAGCGCAGAGACGCGCAGAGCAGCGGCGCCTCGAGAGAACGAGCGCTGCGGAGAAGTACTTTCGTGGGCGAGGGGGCGGCGCGGGGGCGGCGCGTCGCTACCTATCCGCGCGCCCCGCGCCCCCGCGGCCTCCGGCGCCCGCTCGTCAGCCGGCAGGCCCAGAGGGTGGTCTTCGCAGTGGCGTTCCAGGCGCTGCTGGCTGCCCGCGCGAGCGGCCGCTGGTGGAGAGGCTGCTGACTGCGCTGGGCAGTTTATCCGCGTGCCAGGAGACAGCGTGGGCGAGTCTCCCGGAAGCAGCGACTGCGCTCGGAGTACCATTGGATGCCGTCTTGCGCGTCAGGGACGTGTGCTGCCAGCAAAAGTTATTCACCTGGGCAGGTGAATGGGCGCGGCCTGTGCGTGAGCCATTCCAGTTGCCTTGTCCACCCGAACCTCGCTGACGTCGAGATGTTGCCCCGTGCCCTTGGAGATGGAGACCGTCGGTGGGTGCCCAGGGAGGCGCCCATTTGCGCAGCTTCCTGCAAGTGGGGCCGGGGTGGGTTCGTAGGCAAACTGAGGAGTGCCTCGCGGAGGCCTGCGGTCGGGCGCGCTGGATACTAGAAGAAATGGATGACCCCCTCCGTGGGCACATTGGTTTCGCGTACCCTGTAGACGACGCAGCGTGCGCTTGGGGGATTCTTGAAGCTTTCAGAGGCGATTGACATGCGTTGCGTAGGCGGCGGGGCGCCGCGCAGACCAAAAGGATATTGCGAGGGCAGACTGGAAGTCTCAGTGTCCGTCAGTGTTGTCCGCTCCTCGCCGTCCGTGCATGCTCGCGTCAGTGTCTTACCCTCGGCGTCGTCTTCCTTGGGGCCTTCCTTGTTCTCGTCCTCTGTTTTGGTCTCGTCGCGGTCCTTCTCCCGGGGGGGCATCGTCGTTCTCCTCGTCTTTGCGTTTGCTTTGCTGGTTTGCTCTAGTGCATGCTCCGCGCGCGCCGTCAGTGGCAGGCCGCTCGCGTCGCGGCCCCCCCCCGCCACGGCGGCCGAGACATGGGGGAGCCGTCGCCGAAAGGGAAGAGCAGGTGCGCCCCTGTGAAAAAGTGCGTTTTGAAGGCCAAGCGGGGTCCGAAACCGTTCGGGAGGTTCGTCCACGGCAGAAAGGTGAAGAAGACAGAGTGGCGCGGCCACGCGGGAGCACGCCCTCGCACCCGCGGTGCCCAGCAAAGCAGGGGCAGGACGACCGCAGTGAGGCCTTTGCGGGGTCGTGCGAAAAAGGCGCTTCAGGCGGTGACCTACACGGACCGCCCAGCCGCAGAAGTGCGGAGTGAGCAGGAGACAGGGGGGAGGGAGGAAGGAGGAGGGTAGCACTGAGAGCAGCCACCGTGCCAGGAGAAAGGGCGCTTGAGGAACCTTTTCCGGCGTCTTCTACCTGGACATCCTGAAGCAGACGAGCACAGAGACGCGCGCGCGGGCTGCGTGCCTAAGGTACGGCGTCCTGCCCGGCATGCTCAGCAGGACTCCGTGGCAGCCCGGCTGGTGCGCAATTCGCTGCGTCGCCGCTTACAAGGATGTTCATGTTGTGCACGGCGAGACCTCTAGAGGCCCACGGGGCCCAAAGGCCGCGGACGGAGGCACGGGCAAAACTGACCGGGCGAGAAGCAACGACGCGAAAATCGCAGAGGCCCAAAATGGAAGAGAGGCCGGCACGGGCATGAACAGAAATCGAGGAGAGGCCGGTACATCGAAAGACACGGCCAGCACATGAGGGCACACGGGGCGAACATGCAACGAATTACGGGCCGTCTCAGACGGAAGAGGGAGGGGGGGAGGTGGAGGAGGACGGAGGAGGACGGAGGAGGACGGAGGAAGTGGAAAGGGAACCAAGAGAGAAAGGTTAAAGCAGCACAGATGGAACCAACAGGATCGGCGCGGCCAAGGACACATATCGAGAAGAGGCCAGTGCATGTCAACGCACGGCCAGCACAGGAGGCGACGCGCAACGAACATGCAAGGAAATACGGGCCGCCTCAGAAGGAGGAGAAGGACGCGGAGGAGAGGGGGCAAAGAGGGAAGGGCTGAAGCAGCACAGACTATTCTGAGGGATTCGTGACTGATGGGGATTTGTTCGGGATGGAACGCCCGCGAGCGGGCCGCCATCTTGACCGAGCGTTCCTCTTCCTGTGGCCCCTCAGGCCAGAGTCCCGTTGCGTAGTGGATGGAGAGGAGGAGGGGGGTTGCAGGGGAGGTTGCACGTGGAGAGGAGATGCAGGCGGAAAGAGGGAGGAGGGTTCAGCGCATCAGTGCTCTGTGCGTTGACATGTCTGAGAGGAGGGTGTTCTTGAACCAGTTCCCCTCCCCGTCGGCCTCCAGGCCCCCGTTGTCGGCGGAGTCGCGCAGCAGCGCTTCTGGTCATTGTGCAGGAGGGCTAATCACGAGCAGTTAGATCGAGAAGAGGCCAGCGCATGTCAACACACGGCCAGCACAGGAGGCGACACGCAACGAAAATGTAAGGAATTACGGGCCGCCTCAGAAGGAGGAGAAGGAGGAGGGGGGGAGGGAACTGAGAGGGAATGGCTGAAGCAGCGCAGACTATCCTGAGGGGTTTGTGGCTGATGGGCATTTGGTCGGGATGGAACGCCCGCAAGCGGGCCGCCATCTTGACCGAACGTTCGTCTTCCTGTGGCCCCTCAGGCCAGAGCCCCGCTGCGTGCTGGATGGAAAGGAGGAGGAAGTTTGCAGGGGGGGTGCATGTGGAAAGGAGATGCAGATGGAAAGGAGGAGGGGGAGGAGGGTTTAGTGCATCTGTGCTCTGTACGTTGACATGCGTGAGAGGTGTGTGTTTTTGAGCCAGTTCCCCTCCCCGTCGGCCCCCAGGCCCCCGTTGTCGGCGGAGTCGCGCAGCAGCGCTTCCGGTCATTGTGCAGGAGGGCTAATCTGGAGCAGTTTGTGCGCGTGCGTATTCGTGGACCGTGCGTTGCCGTGGGACGCGCCGGCGCTGCAAGGCCCCCCTGGCGAAGTACTCCGCCGCGACGTTGCAGTGCAACGCGAATGCCTGCAGGGCAAAGCTCAAGCAGGAGGCCGACGCGCCCCTGCACTACCCGAGCGGGGGTGGTTTCGGGGGGGGCCAAGCGCAGGGTGAGGAAACCGGCGGCGGTGGGCCACTGACCGCCGTGGCCTACCTGCGTTGCCTCGCCCTGTTCGGGGGCAGAGTGGCGCCCGACCAGGCGTCGGTGGGAGAGTTGCGGGATGCCTCTGGCGTCTTTGGCGACGTCGTCGTCGCCGGCGTCGTTGTCGTCGTCGTCGTCAACAACAGCGTCGTTGTCGTTGCGTTCGTCGTCGTCGTCGGTGCGGCGTGCGTTGAATGGAAGACGTCGCTCAGGTAGCCTATTTGGGCGGCGTCGGCAGGAGACGCTCCGAGCGCGCGTGGGCCTTCGCCGGGAAGGCCGCGGCCTTTGCGGAAGTGCAGGAAGGGCGACGTCTGCGAGATGAAACGGGCACTGTGGAAGCAGACGCCGCGCGAACGATGGCCGCGCGTCAGGGCCGCAAGAAGACGGAACACCTTGGCAGGATCTTCGGGATCGCGCAGCGCGAAACGGGGAAGCACGCCTTCGCGCAGCTGCCGAACAAGGCCCCTTAGGGCATCGCAACAGGGAAAGAAGGCGCATCCCCCAGGAGATTCCAGCAGCCATTGTATACCACGCAGAGGGACACGGCAGGAGAGGCGCAGCACAGAGGGAGGAGGGCACCCATTGTGTAAAGCACAAAGGAATAAGCAAAACTAGTCGTCTGCGTCGTCGTCGTCGTCGTCGGGGGGGCGCCGCGCCCTCCCGCCCGCGGGCGACGCGGGAGGGCGCCAGCGCGCCGCCAGAAACGAAAGCGGAAGTGGCGGCGCCACTGAGGAGAGCCGCGGGCGGCCAGGCGGCGCCGGGCGTCGACGGGGCGCGAGCGCGGAAGGCGGCGGCGAAAAAGGAGCTGAAGGGGGCGCCGGTTGCCCGGGCACAGCATGAAGCAGTGTGCGAAGCTGCGCCGCTTCAGACGGTTCACGGCAGCACGCGCCGCGGCGGCGCAAAAACAAAAAAGGATGGAAGCCCGCAAAAGAGGACAGCGGCCGCCAAACGGGCTGCAGCACCTAAGAAGGCGGCCGCACCGAAACGGTCAGCGGCGACAAAGAAGGCAGAGAGGGACGCCGTGAAAACGGCAGCGCGGCCGGGGAAGAACGCGAAGACGCTGCTGGTGAAGGGGGGCGACAACCGCTCAGAGGCGCTCTTCGGCGCCGCGAGAAAGCAGCTGCGCCGAAGCAACGCGCTAACCAACAAGGCCCACGCGGGGGCAAGCTTCCTCAGCCGCGCTTACCTGCTCAGGAAGCCTGGGTTCCTGCGGGACGTCAAAAGGGCAGGGGGCGCAGGGCGGGCGACCAGAAAGGGTCCAGGAGGAGGCGGATGTGCGCGACGAGGATGGCGGGGGTGGAGGACCAGGAGGAGGAGGAGGAGGAGGAGGAGGAGGTGGAACAGGAGGAGAGGAGGAGAAACAGGAGGAGGAGGCAGACGAGGAGGACAAGGAGACTGCAGTCTGCAGACGTAGGAGGACAAGGCAGACGAGGAGGAGGAGCAGGCAGACGAAGAGGAGGCGGCGAGGATCTGCTCGGCCACGCTGCAGACTGCAGTGGCCGAGCAGATCCTCGCCGCTCATAGGCCGCCGGCCCCAGCCGGAAGACGCTGAGCTGGGCGTGGCGTGGGTGTTGGCGGTGGTGGTTGCGGTGGTGCTTGAGGTGGAGGTTGAGGAGGTGGAGGAGGGGAGGTGGAGGGGGAGGAGGAGGAGGTGGAGGAGGAGGAGGAGGAGGAGGAGGAGGAGGCCGCGGACGCATCCAGCTTGCGGGCAGAGGGCGCGCTGCTGAGGTGCTTGGCGCCTGGAGGACGAGGGCCGTCGCGCCCGGGGGCTTGCCGGAGGAGGAGGAGGAGGCAGGAGGAGGAGGAGGCGGAGGCGGAGAAGAGGAAGAGGAGAAGCGGCCGTGGCACGGATGAGCACGTAGAGGCTGAGGAGGAGGAGGAGGATGAGGCGGAGGCAGAAACAACAACCACGTTGAGACTGATGAGGAGGTACAGGTGGAGGAGGAGACGGCAGCCATTCCAACGCCACGACACGATGACCGCCCCCCGCCCCCCGCCCCCTCCTTCCCCCTCCCGGGCCGCCCTCGCAGGTGTGTTACTTTCGCTTTTTTCATTTCCCCCCCAGCCTGGGTCAGGGGCCGTTGCCCGCAGGCCGAGGGGGTGTATAGTGCTGCTGGGACTGGACGGCGCCCTCGCACGCCTGACCCCGGTGGCCACCCATCCTAAAGAGGGCTGGGTGCCGGGGTCGCGGTGAAGGAGGAGGAGGAGGCATGCAGGTTCGAAAACGTGGCAGCGGCAGTGCGCGAGTACCTCGCCGGCGTCGTTGACAAGGTGGATCCGAGGGCGTTCAACAAGGAGATGTTGAAGCCGACGCCTGAAGATGCGCACGGCCCCGAGGCGCGCAGACACGGGCAATGCCTCGTCCTGGTTGCATTGATACATTCCCTCCGTGTTTCCACCATGATGGAGTCATCGACCCGCTCATTGGCAGCGCGCCCGCCCTCCCATGATGGCCCCCCTCGCTGCTCGCTCCGTAGCGACGCCCCAGCGGGCATCGGAGCGGCAGAAGAAGCACGGCTCCAGTGGGAAGTAGCAGTGAGGGGCGGCGCGGGGTGCGCCGACAGAATGGCGCGCGCGGAGGGGGCGCGCGGCCGCAGGGAGAAACAGCTCGCGCACCACTCAGTCGAGCACCGTGGTGGCAGACCCCCAGCTTGAAGTTGCATGGTTTCGTGTGAGACGTCCGACTTAGACGTGAACGGTTGGCGCGGACGTCCTGGGACGGATGCGTTAACATCTTGCCAGGGGGCGAGCCGCCACGGTGCCCGGTGCCCTCCTCCCCCCCCCCTCCTCTCCTCGTCATCATCATCATCGTCAGCGTCATCGCCATCGCCGTCACCATCGCCATCATAATCGTCGCCATCGTCGTCATCATCGTCGTCATCAGCGCTTCGTGGCCCCAAGGAGCTCCGCCGAAGGCCCCAGTGGCGCAGTCCGCATGCGCCCCCGCCATTCCTGCCAGCACACCCCTCACACGTTTCGCGGCCCCATAGGAGGGAGCTCCGCCAAAGGTCCCAGTGGCGCAGTTCGGATGCGTCCCCGCCATTGACTTCGGCACACCCCTAACGCGTTTCGTGGCCCCATATGGGGCCCCGCCGAAGGTCCCAGCGGCACAGTCCGCACGCGCCCCCGCCATTCATTTCGGCACCCCTCACACGTTTCGCGTCCACATAGGAGCTCCGCCGAAGGTCCCAGCTGCCCTTTCGGACGTTTCCCCGCCATTCATTTCAGCGCGCACCCCTCGCGCGCTTCGTGGCCCCATAGGAGCTCCGCCGAAGGTTTCAGTGGCGCAGTTCGCAAAGGCCCCGCCGCCCATTTCGGAACACCCCTCACGCGTTTCGTGGCCCCATAGGAGCTCCGCCGAAGGTCCCAGTGGCACAGTTCGCATGCGTCCCCGCCATTCATTTCGGCACGCCCCTCGCACGCTTCGCGGCCCCATCGGAGCTCCGCCGAAGGTCCCAGGAGCACAGTTCGCGCGCGCCCCCGCCCAGTGGCGCAGTTCGCGCGCGCCCCTGCCATTCATTTCGGAACACCCCTCACGCGTTTCGTGGCCTCATAAGAGCTCCGCCGAAGGCCCCAGTGGCACAGTCCGCATGCGCCCCCGCCACTCATGTCGGCACACCCCTCGCGCGTTTCGCGGCTCCATAGGAGCTCCGCCGAAGGTCCCAGTGGCGCAGTCCGCACGCGCCCCCGCCATTCATTTCGGCACACCCCTCACACGCTTCGTGGCCCCATAGGAGCCCCGCCGAAGGTCCCAGTGGCACAGTTCGCATGCGCCCCCGCCACCCAGTTCGGCACGCCCCTCACGCGCTGCGTGGCCCCATCGGAGCTCCGCCGAAGGTCCCAGGAGCACAGTTCGCATGCGCCCCCGCCATTCATTTCGGCACGCCCTGCGCGCGCTCCGTGGCCCCATGGGAGCCCCGCCGAAGGTTCCAGTGGCGCGGTCCGCGTGCGCCCTTGCCATTCATGTCGGCTTGCCCCTCGCGCACCTCGCGGCCCCATAGGAACTCCGCTGAAAGTCCCACTTGCACAGTTCGCACGCGCCCCCGCCATTCATTTCGGCACGCCCCTCACACGCTTCGTGGCCCCATCGGAGCTCCGCCGAAGGTCCCAGTGGCACAGTTCGCATGCGTCCCCGCCATTCATGTCGGCACGCCCCTCACACGCTCGGTGGCCCCCATAGGGGACTCCACCGAAGGTTCCCGTGGCACAGTCCGCAGGCGTCTCCCTCACCCAGTGCGGCGTTTCGCGGTCCCATATGGAGCCCCACCGAAGGTCCCCGTGGCGCAGTCGGCATTGTGTTGTTCGGTTTCGTTTGCTTTGTGTACCGCGCCATTCATGTCGGCAAACCCCTAGCGCGGTTCGTTGCCCCATAGGGTTCGCCACCGAAAATGCGAATCACAATTGCGGCGCTCACGCCTGCATATGGTTGGGTCCTTCGTCGGGCTAAGTCTTGAAGGCGATGCGCAGCTACCTCGGTGGGGCGACTGCAGGTGCGAAAGCGAGTTGCAGAGGGGCACTTCGTTGGTGCGGCTGGTTTCCGAACAAATCTGCATGCCCTGCAGTTCTGCTAATGTTCTTGGCGCCAGGGGATCTGCGCGCGGTGGCAGAAGAGCACCTCAATGCAGATAACAGGCCTGCGCACGAATGGTGGCCATTGTTTCAAGAGCTAGTTGTGGCCAGTGCCATCCTACTCGTCGAACGTCGTCTCGAGGGCCAACGCTCGATCATTGGGTCTGACGGCAAGCAATCTCTCACGAATAGAAAGATACCGCCGAGCGTCTCCGCGAATCTCAGCCACTGCCAACTCCAAGAAGCAATGCGTCACGGACTTGTCTGGCACACGTTGGAGCAAGTGTGGTATGGGCAATCAGTGTGGTCGCAGCTTCTGTCTCATCGAGTGAGCCCAGTTCGCTTGCGGTGCTTATCGGCGAGCGAACGGCGTGAGATGCTCTACGCGCGCGACGAAGCTGCGCGTTTCCACAAAGATGACGAGATCGATGCATACATGGCGGGGTGGAAGCAAGCGCTTGCGGACATCGGGCCAGCGAAGCCGTTGCCCTTGACGGAGGTGCAGTCGTGCTTGATGGACCACTCAGACCCTTGCTTCGGCGCGGGCGCGCATTGTCTGCGCCGCAGCGCGGGGATGCTGAGGACGACGACCCCGCGTGCACAGCGGTTGCCATAGTGGATGTACTGCAAGAGCCTCCACCTTCAGCACGGGGCGCATTGGGCGACGATGCGAAGCTTTACGAAGTGGTGCATCTTAACCCTGGTGGCCGAACCTCGGCGAACGCCGCGGTGAGGGAACGCATCCCGTCGGCGTGCATCAGCGCTCGGGAGCTGAAGCCCGTTGGCGCCATCGAGAACGGCCGGGTCAACATCGAACAGGGCGAGAACGGTAATCATTTTTTTGACATGGGCAAGTGGACTGTTCAGAAGAGTTTCCGGACATGTGTTCGAGGGTGTTCCTATGGCGATTAGCCCACGTGTCGACCTGCCTGCATCCTGCGCGCGAAGTTTGTCCAGCCTGACAGGATGTTCCAGCTGGGGGTGGGGAAGAGCTATATGACGAGGGCGAGCCAGAGCTGGGCCGTGTCCCTCATGTGCCAATGGAGACCCACATCGAGAGCCTCTTCCAGTTGGCGGTCATGGAACAGACTTACGTGGACAGCATACCTACGTTTGGAAATCCAGGTCTGGATGTGATCAGCAAGCACTGCATGGACGCCGTTCTGCGCTGCGGTATTCTTGTGAAGCAGGAGAGCGAGTTTGGCGACGAAGTCATGGACACTGATTCGAGGAAGGTTCGCTGGTAATCGCATCGGGTTGCATTTGACCCCGTGCCATTTGCCAGACGCGAAAAGGATGCCTTTGCGGGTTTCGCGATCTCTCGAAAGTCTCGTTGCGCGCTGCATTGTTGGACATGGGCTGGGCCCCAGAGAGACGCCCTGAACCGATAGCGGCAGCAGACAAGTTTCTCTGACGAGATATTCTGTTATGAGAACTTGTTCGGGGGCAAGTCTGATTGGCTCGCACGGCTCCGTTCTGAATCAATCTTCGAGGACCAGCGCATGGCGACGGTTTTTAACAATAAGCAGCATGCTTCGAATGAATGCTTGATTCAGCTTCCCGAAGAAAAGTTGCGAACGATTTTCAACGACCCGGGCTGTTCCCGCTTCGCGAACAAGGATTTTGCAAATTGTTTTAAGGGCCAGGGCATTATCATAGAGCCGATGCCTGCAAGTGGAGGTGCAGGCGCAGTGGCTTCGGCCCTGGCTCCTCACGACGATGCCGAAGCAATCGTCCACGCGCGGATCATGCCAGCCATCCGCCCCCGGCATCGGATTTCGGCGATGGACGTTTCAAGATATGGTTCGACGGTTGGTCGCGCCAGAGCGGTGAACAACGAGCCTACATCAAATGCCCGACTGCTGAACACCACGTGCATCGGCCCTGCGTAAGATACACGCTTCACTGGCATGGGCCAGAGAAAGATTGCTGCGCATTTCTCATTTCGCGGCCCAAGGGCGGTCGTCACGCTCTCGGCCGCGAGCATCACAAATTGCTCTCTTCTGAGGCCCAACTTGTGGCCGCCAGAAAGATTGTGGATGGGTAGAGTGTCTGCAACACTGCAAGCGCAACCGTCGTCGTCACCAACGTCGCCCACGTCTCAGCATCGCAAGCATACCGAATGCAGTCACGTAGCATACAAAGCCACGTCTCGTCTCTTGCACAACAGTGCAAGACATAGTACACGCATGAGCATGCGCATGGCTAACGTCGTCTGTCCCTCCACCCTTCCTGATTCATCGGCACCTCCCACTCTGCCACTCCATCGTCCAGCATCCTCCCCACGCTACTCATGTGCCACTTGGTGGTTTGGGCCCTCATTGGGGCCCATCTCTGTCCTCAGGGCCTTTCTTGATCTCGGGACTGTTTCACCCTGCGCCAATGAAAGTTTCGCGTCCGGGGAGGTACTCTTCAAGGATCAACGCCTTGTCACTCGCGCTTCTGCACGCCGACGTTGGTTTTGAGAGTCGAAGCGCGCTGTTCCTATGCAGTACGCCTTCGATCTCAGCAATTTCTGGGATCAGGCTTCGAGGATTGGCCAGTGCGCGCATGGGTGGGCCAGGGGCAGCGGGGGAGTTGGAGAAGGGGCGGAGAAGGGGTGGAGAAGGGGCGGAGAAGGGGCGGAGAAGGGGCGGGGAGACCCTCGGAGGCCCTGGGGGGCTCCTGGGAGACCTGAGGCCGTGGGACTGTTTGGGGAAGCCTGCAGAGGCCTTGGAAGAGCATCGAAGGTCCTGAGGGGTCCTGCGAGGCCCTTGGGAACTTCGGGGCCTTCACCAAGGGCCTTTGGAGCGCTTCGGAAGACCCTTGGAGGCTTCTGAGGGCTTGCGAGGCCTTGGAGGCCCTTGCGCGGTAGGTTTGGGGGACAGCTGACTGGGCGATCTCGTGATCTGGCAGACGTGAGTTCTGGAGTGTTCCGTTTTTGCCCAGGTGGCTCCATTTCGGCGAGGCTTGCGTCGCGCACCGCTGCAGTGCCTTTCCGACTTCATCAATCGCCATGTTGAGCCGCAAAAGTGTGTTCACATCCGAGTCAGATGAGGAGATCGTTCCATCGTCCCCTACGCGCGCCGCAGAGTTTGAGGCCCATCCCCAGGGCATGGTTCAGCCCACGGATGTCTTTGACAACGCCGAGAACAGATCGCTGTACACCGGGTGCCGAGGGCAGGGCATTACTTGTGGATCGGTCCGGCCATTTCTCTCCCAGGCTTGTGGAATGGGCTGCGCAGCGACGCCTGCACTTCTCTGCCAAAGGATTCCTTTGCTGC